CAATGGTTTTACATTCTACTATGGTTACCACGTTTAATAAAAAATAAGCAAGCTTATATACAGAGTCAAAAATAAAACTTTAGAAAGAAAGGAAAAAAATAAGCATGAAATATCTCCAGGTCATAGAAAACTATAAAAGTGAAACACAAAATGTGTTAAATAACCAAGTAAAATGTCTGAAAATAACTGATATGAAGAACTCAGTGAGTGGGTTTAATACCATATTAGAAATAATTTTCCAGGTGCAGTGGCTCCCACCTGTAATCCCAGTGCTTTGGGAGGCTGAGATGGGTGGATCACTCGAGCCCAGAGGTTTGAGACTAGCCTGGGCAATGTGGCAAGACCTGGTCTTTACAAAAAATACAAAAATTAGTCAAGTGTGGTGGTGTGTGTCTGTAGCCCCAGCTACGTGGGAGGCTCACTTGAGCCCAGGAGGTTGAGGCTGCAGTGAGCCATGATTGCGCCACTGCACTGCAGCCTGGGTGACAGAGTGAGACCTTGTCTCAAAATAAATAAAAAATTTCAAAAAGAAATTATTTTAGCAACCTAGAAGTTGGTCAGAAGAAATATCTGAGCCAAACACGGCACAGAGAGATAAAAAGAGGGAATATATTGATAAGAGGGTAAACGTCATGGCAGATGAATCAGATGGGTCTAATATATGTTGAAATGGGATTTCAGGAGATAGAATAAGAACATGTTTATTTGGAATCCCAGAGGAAAGGAAGAAAAATGATGAAGCACAGACAATATTTGAAAAGACATGACTAATAATTTTCAGAAGATTGTGGAAACCCCAATCCACAGATTCATAAAGTCAAATAATTCCAAGTAAATATATTTGTTTTAATTCACATTTAGATACATCATAGTAAAACTGCAGAAAACAAAAGACAAAGAGAAAAATCTCAAAAGCAGCCAGAGGAGAAAAGATGGATTGCTTACTTACTCAACACCTCTTGTAAGCTGTAGTACCCTACTTTTTAATCGAGCCAATTCTGGCAACATACTTCACACATTTATAACCTGACAGAATCTCACACTGACTCTAGCATCATCAACTCAAGCATCATTTTCCCTTCTCTGTCAAGGCCTGTCTATCCCTGCATCTTGGCTGCCTGTGGAAACCTATTCTGCATTTAGACATGCACAACCTGGAAGTACTAGGAGTTAACAAGCCAGGGGGAAACCTCTGACTAATGGAGGATGGGAAGCTTTCTTCTCCTCTGTGAGGCAACTCTGAGGCATTTTCTGTTCTTCTGCTGGACAATTTAAAAACACATTCCACATGGCTTCTTGGAGGGGCTCAGCGAGATTGTGCTCTAGTGGTCCACGGCAGTGATAGCCTAAAAATTGTATCTCCCTCCTTTCCTGGCACACCTTTCCTGGTCCTCCACTCTTACTCCTGGCATCACCTCCAAAAATAAACTACAAGCACGCTTCTGAGGAGCCCGGGTTAAGACAGTTTCGAAGGAGTAACAGGCAGAAAGATGGTTTCCTAACAGCAACAGTGGAAGTAAGGAGCTGGTGAAACAGTATCTGATGAAACTGAAGAGAGTTGCCAGTTAGAAAGAATATACAACAGGCATTAGAAAGAATATACAACAGGCAGAACAAATATAAAGCAAATCTAAGAATATATTGTGTCAATATTAGATGAAAACGAACTTAATGCTCTAATTAAAGACATATAATGCCAGTCAAGATAAAAAACAGAAACAAAAACTCAACTTTAGAGTGTTTATAAGACACGTATTAAAAATATGTCTGGTTTGAGTTGGTGTTTGGAAAAAACTGTAAGGATACAGGAAGCTGAAAGTGAAAGCAGGAAAAATGTACACCCACATACAAATATTCACCCCCCCAAATCTGGTTTAGCTATATCAGAAAAACACGTTGTAAAACAAAGCATTTCTAAAGATAAAGGTGGTCATCACTTCATTTCATCATTGTGGATGATTGGATCAAAACTGTAGTTTCAAAATAATTCCTTCAAACTGCTCGTGTGAAACAAAAGCCCTGATTTGGTGATGGCAGCCATCTTGGAGGCAGTGACACCTAATAAGAGACCAAAAACATGAGTAGAAGTCACCGAGATGAAGAAAACGGATGGCCGGTTGGTATGCAGGGAACAGCATAAGCCAAACAGATGCATGAAACAGCAGGTGTGTGTGAGGAGATAGAAGAGTCCAGTGGCCGGAGGGAAGACATCTGTAGAGGACTGAGGCCAGAGAAGAGGGGCAGAGGCAGATAAGGTTTTGTATGTCACATTAAGAGCCTAAGAGTTAAGAGTCTGTGCTGTTGCTAATGGAGAGCCATAAAAAGGATTTAATAAAATCACATCATCATGGATAAATGTGCAGAAGAAAAGAAAGTAAAGTATTACGAATGCACTAAATAACATTAAAAGGTGCATATTCACTTAAAATGATTAGAAATTAAGCCAATAGTCATACTTAAAGTGTTTAATTACCATTAATTTATTTTATTTCCTCTAAAGTTGATTACCAGACGAAACAATTGGTTGTGTATCCTTCTGATTTATCAATCCTTCCCTTGGGAATTTGATTATCATGAGATAGGATAACATGCTATTAAAAAATCAGATAGCTCTTGACTCATCAAAACGTAAACAGTCCCATAGGAAATTAACAGTCAGCTAATTCCTCATTTTAGATTTTTTAAATATATTTTAATTGTAACAGAAGACAAAATTGAAATCTTGAAAGAGGTAAATTTGTAACAAAAAGAAAGGATTTATTCACGGTGTTGCATCTTTAGAAAATTCATTTATCTCCAAGTGATAAAGGATTCAATAAGTGATGAGACATTTTTGAAAGAAGGCTTTGATATGGATGCTCAAAGAACATCTCTAAAGCATCTTAATGTTCAGCCCCTTCATGAATGAGGAGGTTAATAGAAAATATACCCTATACACCAATAACAGAGAAGCAGACCACCAAATCATGAGTGAACTCCCATTCACAATTGCTACAAAGAGAATAAAATATCTAGGAACACAACTTACAAGGGACGTGAAGGACCTCTTCAAGAACTACAAACCACTGCTCAAGGAAATAAGAAGACGCAAACAAACGGAAAAAAAATGCCATGCTTATGGATAGGAAAAATCAATGTCGTGAAAATGGTCATACTGCCAGAAGTAATTTATAGATTCAGCGCTATTCCCATCAAGCTACCATTGACTTTCTTCACAGAACTAGAGAAAAACTACTTTAACTTTCATATGGAACCAAAACAGAGCCTGAATGGCCAAGACGATCCTAAGCAAAAAGAACAAAGCTAGAGGCATCATGCTACCTGACTTGAAACTACACTACAAGGCCACAGTAACCAAAACAGCATGGTACTGGTAACAAAACAGATATATAGACCAATGGAACAGAACAGAGGCCTCAGAAATAACACCACACATTTACAACCATCTGATCTTCAACAAACCTGACAAAAACAAGCAATGGGGAAAGGATCCCCTATTTAATAAATGATGCCGGGAAAACTGGCTAGCCCTATTTAGAAAGCTGAAAGTGGATCCCTTCCTTACACCTTATACAAAAATTAATTCAAGATGGATTAAAGACTTAAATGTAAAACCTGAAACCATAAAAACCCTAGAAGAAAACCTAGGCAATACCATTCAGGATATAGGCATGGGCAAAGACTTCATGACTAAAACACCAAAAGCAATTGCAACAAAAGACAAAATTGACAAATGGGATCTAATTACACTAAAGAGCTTCTGCACAGCAAAAGAAACTATCATCAGAGTGAAAAGGCAACCTACAGAATGGGAGAAAATTTTTGCAATCTATCCATCTGACAAAAGTCTAATATCCAGAATCTACAAGGAACTTAAACAAATTTACAATTAAAAAAACCAACTTCATCAAAAAGTGGGCAAAGGATATGAACAGGCACTTCTCAAAAGAAGACATTTATGCAACCAGCAAGCACATGAAAAAAAGCTCATCATCACTGGTCATTAGAGAAATGCAAATCAAAACCATAATGAGATACTATCTCGCACCAGTTAGAATGGCCATCACTAAAAAGTCTGGAAACAACAGATGCTAGTGAGGATGCAGAGAAATAGGAATGTTTTTACACTGTTGGTGGGAGTATAAATTAGTTCAACCATTGTGGAAGGCACTGTGGCGATTTCTCAAGGATCTAGAGCTAGAAATACCATTTGACCCAGCAATCCCATTACTGGGGATATACCCAAAGGATTATAAATTATTCTACTATAGACACATGCACACGTATGTTTATTGCAGCACTATTCACAATAGCAAAGACTTGGAACCAACCCAAATGCCCATCAATGATAGACTGGATAAAGAAAATGTGGCACATATACACCATGGAATACTATGCAGTCATAAAAAAGGATGAGTTCATGTCCTTTGCAGGGACATGGATTAAACTGGAAACCATCATCTTCAGCAAACTAACATAGGAACAGAAAACCAAACACTGCATGTTCTTACTCATAAGTGGGAGTTGAACAATGAGAACACATGAACACGGGGAGGGGAACATCACACATCAGGGCCTGTTGAGGGATGGGGGGAAAGGGGAGGGAGAGCATTTGGCCAAGTACCTAATGCATACGGGGTTTAAAACCTAGATGACGGGTTGATAGGTGCAGCAAACTACTGTGGCACATGTATACCTATGTAACAAATGTACACATTCTGTACGTGTATCCCATAACTTGGGGTAAAATTAAAAAATAAAGAAAAAAAGAAAATATGAAGAATGTTCAATTAGAGTTCTAAATAAAGGTTTACTATTGTAGAGATGGAGCATAAGTTCAAAACCACTATAATGGCTAAACTAAAAGGTATCATGCAAATGTATTTAGTTAGGTGTGGGAAGCTTAAAATCCTGTCTATTGATTATAAATTATTCACAGTCCCTACAAAAGAAAGACAGCATTCTGTTCTTACTATGACGATACTAATGTTTCCACTTACTATTGAAGGTTCTTCTGCACTCCCGAGCAACTCATCAGGATCAGCATTTTCTGGATCATATACCCACACACTGATAACCTAGAAAATAAAATTTGTTTGCAATTCTTTACATTTTATACAGATTTCATTTTTAATTGTGGCAAAACATAACCATAAACACATTTTTTATTTAAAAATTTTTGATTATCCCACTTTTAAAAATAAAAAGCAAAAGTGCTTTACATAGGTAAAGGATGTCAACTGAAGGACATATGAAGGAAGAATTAATACAATGCCTGTACACCCCTTAAGTATGTAATGTTGAAATGTCATATGAACGCTTACGGGTATTTTTTGAGACGGAGTTTTGCTCTTGTTGCTCAGGCTGGAGTGCAATGGCGGTATCTCGGCTCACTGCAACCTCTGCCTCCCAGTTCAGGTGATTCTCCTGCCTCAGCCTTCCTAGTAGCTGGGATTACAGGTGCCTGCTACCACGCCTGGCTAATTTTTTGTATTTTTAGTAGAGACAGAGTTTCACCATGTTGGCCAGACTGGTCTCAAACTCCTGACCTCAGGTGATCTACCTGCTTTGGCCTCCCAAATTTCTGGGATTATAGGCATGAGCTACCGTGCCTGGCCTATTTTTCTGTTTCTTTTCTTTTCTTTTTTTTGAGACAGAGTCTTGCTCTGTCGCCCAGGCTGGAGTGCAGTAGTGCAATCTCAGCTCACTGCAACCTCTGCCTCCTGGGTTCAAGCAATTCTCCTGCCTCAGCCTCCCGAGTAGCTGGGATTACAGGCACCCACCACCATGCCTGGCTAATTTTTGTATTTTTAGTGGAGACGGGGTTTCACCATGTTGGCCAAGCTGACCTCAAGTGACTCGCCTGCCTCGGCCTCCCAAAGTGCTGGGATTACAGACGTGAGCCACCACGCCTAGCCTATCTTTCTTTATAGCCATAAATAGACACGGCAATCTCACCCCCACTCACATACTTTTTATAAAAATGAAATCACCCTATACATGTTATTTGTAACTTAACATTTGTGACTTGATGCAAGGCCAGTTCAATAGACACAGAACTGTTTTCTTATTTTTTCTTGGGTATTTATTCATATACTTAAAAATTATATTAAAAATACAGCAAAAGCTGACTCTCTCACCCTGTACTCCATCACTCAATTCCCATCAATCCATCTGTACTCCATAGGTATTATTAGTAAGTTCTTGCTTAGATTCCTATAAAATGTTTGTGTATAACCAACAGATATATTATTTTCATCCCTTTTACAAAATGCTAGGATGCTAAACATATTTTTTCTGAATCTTTTGTTCATCATCTAAAGTTATTTTAGAGATCTTTACATATTTCACTGATTTTTCAGTTGGATATTATTCTAAGTTATGGAGGAACCACAATTTATTTAACCAGTAACCTACTGATAAACGTTGGTTTCTCCCTTGCCATTATGATCAATCAAGGCGACAATAAGCAACTTTGTACAACTTTGAGCATACTGTTAGGGCACATGCCTAAAAGCGTAATTGTTGAGTCATGGGGTAAATACATTGTAATTTTCATAGATACTGATAAATTGCTCTCCATAGCAGTTGTACCAATAGGGTCTCTCAGTAGTGATGTATGAGAGTTCTTCTTCCCTCATGTTCTTTCCCAACATCAGGTTTTGTCATATGTTCAATTATTGCCAGTCTGATGGGTGAAAAATGGTACTGTGGTATCATTGTTTAAAAAATTTTATTTATTTATTTATTTTTGAGATGGAGTTTTGCTCTGTCGCCCAGGCTGGAGTGCAATGGTGCAATCTCACCTCACTGCAACCTCCACCTCCCAGGTTCAAGCGATTTTCCAGCCTCAGCTTCCTGAGTAGCTGGGATTACAGGTGCCCACCACCATGCTTGGCTAATTTTTGTATTTTTAGTAGAGACGGGGTTTCACCATGTTGGTCAGGCTGGTTTCGAACTCCTGACCTCAGGTGATCTGCCTGCCTCGGCCTCCCAAAGTGCTGGGATTACAGGCACAAGCCACCACACCCAGCCTGGTACTGCAGTATAGTTTAAATCTGCACATCTCGTATTTTGAGAAAGTTTGAGCTTCTTTCCGTATGTTCAAGTTCCACTTGTATTTCATTTGCTCATTTTTTTTTGTTGTTGTTGTTGTTGTTGGATTTTTTCTCTTTTAACGGTTTATTTGAATTTTTTTTTACATATTAAGAAGACATTGATTTGTTTACTTTAATCAGTTGTATTTTTCCACCTGTATTCCATTTTCTTTGGAGTTTATGATAATTTTTGGCCATGTTATCTGTCATTTACTTATCTTCTAGCTTTATGGAGTAAAAATTATCATATATTTTGGTTTGTCTTCTGCATTTTGTGATATAGTTAGAAAGGTCTCCAATTATCAGGTTGTAAGAGAATTCTTTCATGTTTTCTTTGTTACTGGATTTACTGTATTTACATATTCAATGTAAAATTATTTCGAATTTATTTTGGTGTACTATGTAAGGTATGACTCCAATCTTTGCTTTTTATTAAGTATGACTACTCAGTTATCCCAATATCATTTATTGACTAGTCCATCTTCTCCCCAGGGATTTGAGATGCTACTGTCATTGCTTAGTAAAGATCTAACTGTATTTTGGTTATTTCTGGATTCTTATGCTTTTCTATTCATCTTGACTGCCTTTTCAAGAGTTAGTATCTCACACGTTAAACATGAAGGCTTCACCATGTATTTGAATGCCTGCCATGACCAGAACCCTATCCCTGTTCTTATTCAGTGTTTTTCTGAACACTGTTTGTTTTTCTTTAATCCACAGGAATTCTAGAAACATCTTGTCTAGTTCTGAAAAAGTATATTTTTTTTCATTAAGATGGCATTGCATTGATAAATTCAGGAAAATTCATATCTTTATGTTGTAGAGCACATTTATTAAGGAAATAGTGTGCCTTTCCTTCAGGAGAGTTCTACAGTTTTGTCATATAGGTGTCACGCATATTATTAAGTAAAATTCCCATGTGAGACATTGACAAATGGAGAGAATTCTCTTTGCCTTGGTACTCTTTCAGATTCAAATCAGATACACCAGCTTACACATTAGTCCAAAGTTCAACTGGTTTCACCTCATCCCAGCCAAGTCTATCCATCCATCATTGGCCAGTTTGCTCTTCTGTCCTACCTCCAACCTTAGCAAGTGGTCCTAAGTATAAAAGCATCCTCTGGCTTTTGTTCACCTAGCAAGGACTCATTCTTCTGGAATGTAACACCTTTAGATTTCATTTTACTCACAGCGCTTTGAGTCTGAAGGATTTTAAAATTTTATCATGTGATGTCTTTTTAAAGCAGGAGTGAAGGTGTTTTGTGTCCTTTACTATTTTCCTGGAGGTCTTAATTATTTAGTTTAAACGATTGGTTTCTTTTTTGACCCATGGATACAGAAATGTTTAAATTCCCCCACATGGGGATTTTCTAGGTAATTTTGTTACTGATCCTTTTTTTTTGTTTTTGTTACTGATTTCACACGCCTGAATATAAATCAAAACCCAGCAAGGTCATGGAAATGGGTTTTGCAATCACTTCCGCCTGGGCTCTATGTGTTTGACTGCTTGCAAAGTTATATCTGTATTTATTTCTTGGCTGTAGGTTCTTGAATCTCTTGGGCTGTTAAATTAGGACGTGCACCTGAAATCTGGGTAATCCCTTATCTGTTTACAGCCCCCAAAAGAGGTGTATCATTTCTTTGCAATTATCCTAAGACAGTCAGTAGAGCTTTACCAGTCTCCATTTTACAGACATTTATAAATTTTAAATATTTTATTATTATTATTATTAAGATGGAATCTTGCTCTGCCGCCAGGTGGGAGTGTAGTGGCGCGATCTCGGCTCACTGCAACCTCTGACTCCCTGGTTCAAGTGATTCTCCTGCCTCAGCCTCCTGAGTAGCTGGGACTACAGGCACGTGCCACCACGCCGAGATAATTTTTGTATTTTTAGTACAGACTGGGTTTCACCGTGTTGGCCAGGATGGTCTCGATCTCCTGACCTTGAGATCTGCCTGCCTTGGCCTCCCAAAGTCCTGGGATTACAGGTGTGAGCCACCGCTCCCAGCCAAGACATTTTCTAAACCCTAACTTCATATAGGGAGGTTAGTTTCAGCTCCCTTGACTCCCATAGGCCGAAACTTTCATTCCCAGTCCCATAAAATCATTAAAACATCATCCCTTTTCCACTACTTTTAATTATAAAATAAAACAAAAAGGAATAATATTCATTTGTATGTTTAGTTGTATGTTTTCTAGAAAGCTCACATTCTGTTCTAATTCAGTCTTGAAACTCTGACTTTGAGTTCCTTAATTATTTCTGACCACCAGGAAATTCCTTTTCTTGCTTTTAAATTCCATATGCACACCTGCACCTGTATTAATGTAAAGGTCTGTGAGTGTGTGTGCTAGCAGTATACACACATATATTTTCTATAGGCATTTCTATGCGTTTTGAGTGAGAAGGAGGTTATTCTGCATTATTTGAGTCTGTAATATATACTCTACTTCTGTCAGTTCTCCTATATTTTCTATGTATCTTAAAATTCCTTAATTACCGATAATATTATTTCTTGCTTTTGAGCGTTGTTATAGTTGTAACCTCAAAAAATAATTCAGTAATATCAGTGGGATTTGGAGTAGGAGTAGTTATGGGCACTGAGCTCACTCAAAGATAAACACAGTTTATCTTGTTTTACTACTTCTTTTCTTCCAGTAAGTTGCTGCTTTTAGAGACTTATAATATCTCTACAGAGGTGTAATTTCCAAATATTATTTAACCTTATTTCAGTTTTCAACATTTTGAATATATCTTTCCATCATACTTCTAATCATCCTCTATTCCAGAATTTTGAAACTTTTTGATCTTAGGACCCTCTTCATACTTTTAAAAATTATTACGAATCCTACAAGGCTTTTGTTTTATGTGGTTTAGATCCACCAGTATTTACCATATAACAAATTAAATTTGAGAACATTTAAAGATAATTTAATTATTTTCAAAACTATGGTACATCTATTATATATTAACATTTTTATGAAAAATAACGATTTTTCAAAGGAAAAATATCAGTAAGAATGGATGCTTAATATTTTAAAAACCATCTTTAATATTTGTATTAATAAAAGACAGCTGGATAATCATCTCTGCTCCTTCAGGCAAGTTGTTGGTAAAAATTATCTTGGTAGAAGTAAAAGGGGGGAAATCCATCCTTATGCAGACAGGTGGTTGGAAAAGGGTGAACCTCATGGACCTCCTGAATGGGTCTTATAGAAAGAGACACACCTTGAGTACCACTACTCTAAGCAAATATCATTGCAAAATTAGTTTGAAAAATTCCTCATCTGGTAAATATGGAAGATAAGAGAGAAACAATATAGTAGTGATATATGAAGGCTATACAACATTTTAAAAATATTTTACCTGGGTTAAGTTGTTAAAGAAATGTCTGCGTGGAAAAAGAGGAAACATATTTTAGTAAACAGCCCATTAAACGTTAGTTTGAATATTCTACATTCAAGATACATGTTTCTAAACCTTTGCATATTCTCTTTATATTTCATTATAGTACATAAAATTAAAGGCTAAATGTAAAAAACAAAAAATCACGTACGTCTATTTATTTATCAATATCGTTATTGATTCTCATTTGTCATCACAGAAGTCTGAGTGGCTTAAATCTGTATGCTTCCTTAACACTGCAAGTTCACAGAATCAAAACTTCATGATTAATTTTCTTTAAAATGTTGATACTGTCATTCTACATAAAAAACCCTACAGTCTTTATATGTTATAATTTATGTCAAACAGAAAATTGTCTTTTAGCATGACAAATCCTTCCCTCACCAGCCCTGAAAGGAGTAACAGGCCAGGCCTGGTGGCTCACACCTGTAATCCCAGCACTTTGGGAGCCCGGAGCGGGAGGACTGCTTGAGCCCAGGAGTTTGAGACCAGCTTGGGACATATAGTGAGACCCTGTCTCTATTTTTAATTATAAAATAAAACAAAAAGGGACTAATATTCACTTGTATGTTTAGTTGTATGTTTTCTAGAAGGTTTTTTTTCACTGTAAAGTTACCTGCATATTTTTAGCATATATCATCTCTGAAAGTCAGTGCCTCGTGACTATGTCCTTCCGTTTGCTGATTACTGCAGTGTCTAGTACATTATTATGCACAAAACAAAATGAAAATGCTTTGGGAATCAGTAAATGAGCATGCAGTGAGTTTCTGAGACTGTACAATGAATATTCTATTTCATGTGTTCAATCTGATACGTTAGAAAGCTGCTGAAAACAGCTACGGTAAATCTTAATAGGTAAACTGTGCCCAGAGTTCCACAAAGTCCAAGGTTGATGAAAAAGACCCCAGCTCCAGGGCTGATACCTTCTGCCTTGTGTTATGCTTACTTGTCACAGGCACAGGAAAGAAGAATTGAGTCACCGAGTGAGTTACCAGTGTCTCTGGAAGGAAAATTTGAAGGCAAAAGGAAATACTTGTAGATAATAAAAGAAAGGCTTTGGTATTAATACAGTAACCTCGTAGAGAAGGAATCAGTATCAGCTGACATTAAAGTGACACCCTCAATTTCCATGGAAGACAATATTAGCAGCATTCTGCTGGGTCTTTATCAGTTTTCTTGGCTTTCTTGAGTTAGTGCACAGGCTGAAGTGTAGAGTTGAGAATAAGACTGAAGAGAAAACCCTGGAATGAACTGACATTTAAGGTAAGGACAGATGACAAAAAGCCAAAGAAAAAGACGGGAAAAAAAAACTCATTATGGAAATAGAACATAGTGGTATTAGAGAGTGAAGGAATGAAAGAGTTTCAAAAAGAAAGTGATTCTCAGAATTAAATGTGGTATAGAAATTATTACAGTAAGAGGATCAAAAAAATCCCATTGAATTTGGCAATTACCTTCAGTGACTTTGCCACAGCAGTTTCCGTAGATAGATAGATAGTAGGGGGATAGAGTGATGAAATAGAAAAATGTTACAGTGAACTCGGGAAGACTAGTTTCAGCACAACTTCATGGATCTTTTTCCCTTTTTATTCTCTATTCTAATCCTAGAGAGACAGAAAGAAGAAAGCAAGAGAGTTTGGATGCTAACATGATACTTGTTCATGAATTCTTTCTAGCATCAGAACTCTGGTTTAGGGGCAGAGTCAATAGGTGTCGAGAGCCTGGGGAAAGAGGCAGTGCTTAGAAGGGTCCTGTACTCTACAGTATTTATCTTGAAATTCTTAACAAATTTATCTTTGACATTATGTTTTGTAAGCGAAGTGTGATGAGACAATGAAGCATGCGCCGGGGACGTGGGGTTTTGGCATTCATACAGTCCCGCCTTCTGCTGCCTCTCTGCCTCCCTGGGATGGATTATTTACCCCGATTCCCCTCCATGCTCTGGCACCTTGGGTCCTGACCAGCCTTCCCCTCCTTAACCTGTCCCACAAGCTGCTTCTGTCTTTGACCTGGGTGAGGGCCTAGGCTCAGGTGTTGGGGGATTGTCGGGGTAGGGCAAATGCACGCTGCAGTGTCTTGGAGTAAGGCACGGCAGCGGCTGTCCCATACCTGGCTAGCAGCACCATGGCATGATGGTGATGATGGCGTGGCTTACTCATCTTGGCAGGAGTAAACCTCTTGCCTCCCCCTAATCCAGGTACCTAGCATGGCCCAGTGTAGAGGCTGCAATACTCTTGGGGGTTGCCCATCTGCCATGGGTTGAGGTGGGAGGCCCATGAAGGGAAGATACATGGCTTGACTACTTCAGATCCCTCCACTGGCTGAGCATGACGTGCAGGTCTACTGAGAAGGGAAATCTGGCGGTTGGTGGGCTGTGCACTACAAGAGTGTGCACCTGGCCCACGAGTACGCCACATCCTGAATCACCCACCAGGTGACTAGGAGGGTCTGCACCTGACCCACAAGTAGTCTACATGCTGAACCACCCACCAGGTGACTACAAGGGTCTGTACTTGGCCCACCAGTACTCCACAAGCTGAATCACCCACCAGGTGACTAGGAGGGTCTGCACCTGGTCCATGAGTATTCTTTGTCTAAGGGAGCATGACGTTAAATTGCAAATAAAAAACACCATGAAAGGTAATGAGAGTGACTATAGGAGGAGAAAAAGCTTTAAATTTGATACCTTTAACAGTATTTTCCCCGTGCTTTTTGAGCAAGAGACCCCAACTTTCATTTTACACCAGGACCCACAAATGTATGAGCCAATTTTGGATGTAATGATGTAGAAGTGGCACAAGAGTACAGTAATTACCTCTAGGTAAAAGGATTTTAGGGATTACAAAATTTAGACACTGGCGTGGCATGGTGGCTCCCAGTGCTTTCAGAGGCCAAGGCAGGAGGATTGCTTGAGGCCAAGAGCTTGGGACTAGCTTGGGCAACAAAACGAAACCCTGTCTGTACAGGAAAAAAAAAAAAAAAAAAGTGGAGCACAGTGGTGTGTGCCTGCAGTCCCAGGTATTCAGGAGTTTGAGGTGGGAGGAGTGCCTGAGCCCAAGAGTTTGAGGTTGCATGAGCTATGATTGCACCACTGCACTCCAGCCTGGGTGACAGGACAAGATCCTATTTCAAAAAAAACCAAAAAATTTAGACACGGATAACGAGATAATTAGTGAACTGAATGAAACATTTAAAAAATAACTAAGAATGAATCACAATAAGACAGAAAGATAGAAAAATACCACAAGATTTTAAGAGTCAGGAAAGACAGAACTAAAAGGTGACACACATTTCTCTTAGGAAAATTTAGAGAGAAAAAAAAAAGAATAAGGGAGAACAAATATTTAAAAAGATAGGCCAGGCACAGTCACTCATGCCTGTAATCCCAGCACTTTGGGAGGCTGAGGTGGGTGGATCACCAAAGGTCAGGAGTTCGAGACCAGCCTGGCCAACACTATGAAACCCCATCTCTACTAAAAATACGAAAATTAGCCAGGTATGGTGGCGGGCGCCTGTAATTCCAGCTACTAGGGAGGCTGAGGCAGGAGAATCACTTGAACTCATGAGGCAGAAGTTGCAGTGAGCTGAGATCATGCAACCTTTCTCCAGCCTGGGCGACAGAGCGAGACTCCGTCTCAAAAAATTAAAAAATGTGAATTTTCGAGAATTGATGAAAGACACCAATATTCAGATTCAGAAACTGTAATACATCTCAAAAGAAATATACAATAGTAAAACACCAAAGATAAGGCAAGATCTTAACCACAGAGAAAATATAGATTACCTCAAAAGGAAAAACCATTTGAAAGACAGCTGACTTATCAACTGAAGTTGGAGCCAGACACAGGAAAAAATAATTTTAAAGCATTTAGAGAAAATAGCAAGCAACCTAAAATCATATTCCCAGAGAAATGATTTTTCCAGAGTGAGGATAAAATAAAGATATTTTCAGAGGCATGAATACTGAGAAATTTAATCACTCAGAAATCTTCCCTAAAGGAACCCTGAAAGGATACACTTCAGGAAGAGCAAGTAATATGAGAAAACATGTCTGAGAATATAAGCACCGTTGAGCAAAGAAATGATAGGTCTGTGGATAAATCCGAATAAATATTGACTGAAAAATGTGCAATTTGAAGGATAAACAACTAGAAAGTACCAAAATGATGGTAAGGAGTAAGCCATAAACCGGGAAGGGAATATTTGGAGGTAAAATTCCTGTTAATTCTAGAGTTTGCAACACCAATTACAATTGCATCAGAAACATAAAATACTTTCAAATAAATGTAACGGAAGATGCATAAGACCGCTCATCTGAAGCCCACATGGTTGTGTCATTTTGCATTCCCACCCGTAATGAAAGACAGTTGTTACTGGTTCATGTCCTCACCAGAAGTGGGTGTTATCAGTGTTTTTCTCCTTCAATATTGTGTTGGCTATTCGGAGTCTTTTGCTTCTCCATATACACTCTAGGATGTGTTTGTTCATATTTATAAAGTAACTTGTTGGGATTTTGATTGGGATTGCACTGAATGTAGAAATCAAGTTGGGAAGAGTTGGAGTGGGGTGGGTATTTCTACTACCACTTGTCAAGATTTTAAAAATACAGTTATAGTAATAAGGATAATGTAGTTTTGTTCAAGTATGGACAAATATGTCAGCTGAACAGAATAGCCAGCCCAGAAAAACACTCATGCATATATGGAAAATTGATACATGAAAGAGAAGATATTCTGGATAAATAGATTATTCATTAAATGAGTATGAGAAAATTAATTATTCATGTAGAAAAAATAAAGTGAATTCCTATTCTAAGTTTGTACAAAAACTGATTCCAGGTGGATTAAAGACCTAATTTTAGAAGAAAAAAACATATAGAACTTTTAGAAAACAATATAGGAGCCTATCCTTTTGATCTTGTAAGTAGGAAAAGATTTCTTAAATAGATTTTAAAAGGCATAAACCCACAAAGGAAAGTATTAATCAATTTATCCACAATACTAAAGACCTTTCTTATCAATAGGAGGCATGGAAAGTAAAAATCTGCATAAACTGGGACAGAATACTTTCAGTATATATATATATATATATATACACACACACACATATATATGTGATAATGGAGTAGAAATTAAGATATATAATGAAATCCTGTAAATTATTATGAAAATAAAAATAACTCAAAAGTCGATCAAAATACTTACTGAACAGAAAAGAGAAGAAAAATTCCTGCTGAACAGATAAAATATACTCAATGCACCAGTAATCAGTAAAATGTAAATAAAAATACAATGACATAATTTCATACCTAGTAGACTGGAAAAATTAAAAAGTCAGACGATTTTAAGTGTTGATGAGGATACAGCAAAATGGGAACTTTCATGCACTACCAGTGTGGATATAAAATTGGACAATCTTTCAAAAGTGACTTGGGCATCCCCCAGGAAAGTTGAACAAATGCACATCCTACTTTTAGGCTATTGTACTTTTAGGTCTCTACCTTAGAGAAACTTTCATTTATACGCATTAAATCAGTACTACTTCCCCAACTAGAATGCATATATAAATTCCTACAGAATCTTCTTAAAGTGCAGATTATTATCCCATAGGGCTGGAATAAAGCCTGACATTCTTCACTTCTAATAAACTTCCAGGTGATGTCAGTGCTGCTGATTCTCAGATTACATTTTGAGTAGCAAGACACTATGAGGTATGTTCAGGCATTCACAGCATCATTTGTAGTTGCAAATAAATGCATCAGCAGAATGAACAGAGTCATACAATGAAATACCATAGAGCAGTCACAATGAAAGAGCTAAAGATTCTTCTTTGACTATGGATAAGTCTCAAAAACATAATTTTTAGAGAAGGAAGCAACTCATGGAAGAATACTTACCATATGATTCAATTTAAATAATGTTCAAGAACTGACAAAACTAAACAATTTATTACAATCAAATATAGTCACTAAACTATAAGAAAAAGGCAAGAAATCATTCATTATACAGTATTCAGGATAAAATAACGAAAAGACAAAGAACAATATCCAGAATAGTGTCTAACTCTTGGAGGGTGAATAGAGTGTGATTGGTAGGGCATAAAGAGGTGTTGGTAAGGCATAAAGAGGTGTGATGTTCTATTTCTTGATTTGGGTAATACACATGTGGGTACTGATTTCATTACTATCCTTTTAATTCTTTATGTAATCTTTCTAGCCATTAATTATTATTACTTTGTTTTTATTTTTATTTTTTCTAGAGATGGGGTCTTGCTCTGACATGGAGGCTGGAGTGCAGTGGTGCAATCATAGCTCACAGTAGCTTTCAACTCCTGGGCTTAAGCGAACCTCCTACCTCAGCCTTGCAAGTAGTTGGAACTACAGATGCAAGTCATCATGCCTGACAACTTTTTAATGTTTTTTGTAGAGACAGGTCTTGCTGTGTTTCCCAGGATGGTCTTGAACTCCTGGGCTCAAGTGATCCTCCCATCTCAGCCTCCTAAGTAGTTGGGACTACAGATGCAAGTCACCATGCCTAGCAAATTTTCTCTATTTTTTGTAGAGACAAGTCTTGCTGTTTCCCAGGCTGCTCTTGAACTCCTGGGCTCAAGCAATCCTCTCACCGTGGCCTCCCAAAACACTAAGATTAAAAGGATGAGCCACCATGCTAGGCCTCATTATTATTCTTTAATTGATTATTTTTACAGGTGACAGACTGAAAATTCTTACAATATATATTACAGAAAAACTCTTAGTCCCTACGGAGTTCTCTCTTTTAGACTAACCTTTTGGTTAGTGCTTTTAGACTAGGTGCTTTTCCTTCTGTTCTCACTTACAAGGAGAAAACATATCAAGATCAGGGTAGCCTGGAGGCCCATCTCTTTCAGCCCTAGCTCTTAGGTCTTAATGTGTGTAAATGAAATTGGTAATCCATTCAATGCTTCTTGGCAGATGTCCTAGTTTGGTCTGCTATAACAAAAATACCATAGACTGGGTGGCTTTAACAACAAACCTTTATTTCTCATAGTCTGGAGGCTGCAAAGTCCAAAGATCAAGGTGCTATCTTCTCACCGGGTCCTCGCATGATGGACGGGAAAAAGGAACTCTTTGGGGTCTCTTCTGTAAGAGCACTAATCCCATTCATAAGGATGCTCTCTCATGATCTAACCACTTCCCAATGGTGCAACCTCCAGATACCATCACATCAGGGATTAGGTTTCAGCATAAAAATTTGGGGGTAAACAGGGTGGGACACAAACATACAGTCTTATTGCAACAGATTATCTTCTTTGGCAGTTCCCAAGAGCTCTACTTGGGAGAATAGAAAGTAGCCCATTTGGCCAAAGGAGCAGGTCCTTTTTCACAATTCAACTCTACCAGAAATATTTTATTTTATATATATATATATATATTTATTTATTTATTTTTGAGATGGAGTTTTGCTCTTGTTGCCAAGACTGAAATGCAGTGGCGTGATCTCAGCTCACTGCAACCTCCACCTCCCAGGTTCAAGTGACTCTCCTCCCTCAGCCTCTCTAATAGCTGGGATTACAGGTGCCTGCCAACACGTCTGGCTAATTTTTTTGTATTTTTAATAGAGATGGGGTTTCATCTTGTTCAGGCTGGTCTTGAACTCCTGACTTCAGGTCCACCCGCCCTGGTCTCCCAAAATGCTGGGATTACAGGTGTGAGCCACCGTGCCCGGCCTATTATTTTATGTTATGAGACAGAGTCTCATTCTGTCACCATGCTGGAGTACAGTGGCACAATCATAGCTCACTATAACCTTGACACAGTAACCTCAAATTTCTGGGGTCAAGTGATTCTCCTAACTCAGCCTCCTTTGTAGCTGGGACTACAGGCATGAGCCACTGTGCCTGGCCTCTACCAGGGTTTGTTATCCCCAAACTTGCCCTTGTCTATTTCTCAACTGGTTCAGAACCCATAGAGGAAAAGCTGGTGATTGGTATTTCTGAAACTGCCAACAAGGACAGAAGCCTGCCAGTTTCATGAGTGGCAGAGACTCGATCCTCCCTGCTTCTCAGTAAGACTCTGGGAAAGTGGCAGTGAGTGAGAGGCGACTGGGTTAATGTGTACTCCCGTGGGGCTTGCTGAAACCAAGGTATTATTCGGACTTACAATCTAGCTCAGGATGTCCAATCCAAAAATTCCACATAAACTGCAGAACCATCCGACTTTAAGGGACGATGTGGACCAGGACAATAAAACTATCAACAACAACCATGCTTTACTGAAGACATGAGTATTCTGATTGGTTCTGCCTGGATCGTGTATGTGCCAATCCTCAACTAATAACTGTAACCAAGGAAATGTGGGTTTGTAGAGTTAGACCATATATATCACATGAAATTAACAATATTATCACAGAATAGGGAGGAACAGTTTCCCCAAGGGAATAAACGTGAAGTGGATAAAAAGAAGTAAGTACTTTCCAGGCATCCTGAGGTCAGGATCCATATACTATAGTTCCTTATATCCTACACAGTGCTTAGGATGTTGCCATGACCATGATACTAAAGCATATTCCGAATCACTGATACTTTTTAAACTTATTGAATGATTTCTATGCAGTTAATAATGTATTTGCGTACCACTTTTTCCCTTCTTATATTCAGCTACCTTCATTTTGTCATGAGTTTGAAAAGCTATCTAATACAAACGGTATTTCTGAAATGCATATAACAGAAGAGCCCTATAGACTGAAAAACCAGAGTCAAATCTCAATGCTATCTTTTAGTAGCATTGTATTTTTTCCAGATTGTTTGACCCATCCATGCTTATGCTCCCACATCTATAAAGACTTACATTTATGTGGTTATTATAAAAATTAAGAAAGAATTTATATTAAAGTACAAACATGTAGACACAGTATGTGCTAAAATAGTGTTGCTCTTTTTTTTTTTTTTTTTTTTTTTATGCAACGGAGTCTCCGCTTCTGTCCCTGCCCAGCCCGGCTGGACGGTGCATGTGGCGTGCGTAATCCTCGGCTCACTGCCAAAGCTCCGCCCTCCGCAGGTGTTTCCCGCGCGGCCATTCTCCCCCCTCCGCCTCAGCCCTCCCGACAACGTTTAACTGGAACTAACAAGGCGCCGCACCACCCGCCCCGCCCAAGCCGCGGCCCCGACCGTCCGCGCTAGTTTTTTTGTATTTTTTTAGTAGAGACGGCCGCCCCGGCCAATAGAGTTGCTCCTGCTTAATTTTACCTATTTGTTCTTCAGTATTTCTTTGGCAAGTGTATTTATGAGAATAGCTGTGTTACGTGCCAAATCAAAAGTTGTCATGGTGCCCTCGGGCGCCAGTGGCTCAAGCCTAGTAATCCCAGCACTCTTGGCGAGGCCAGACCGGGCGGATCACGAGGCTCAGGAGATCGAGACCATCCTGGCCTAAACACGGTGAAACCCTCGTCTCTACTTAAAAATAACAAAAAAAACTAGCCGGGCGCGCGGTGAGTGGCGCTGTAGTCCCAGCTTACTCCGGACGAGCTGAGGCAGGAGAATTGCGGGAACCGGGGAGGGCAGCCTTGTTAGTGAGCTGCAGTTACGCACCACTGCACTCCGCCTGGGTGAACTCAGAGCAAGATCCTGGTCTCAAAAAACAAAAAAGTTGTATGTGAAACCATAATAATACGATAATCCCTATTTGTGGTTAAATTAAAAGCCTGAAGCGAAATACTCTTTAAAAGCATAATTACCTATTCAGTACTGCATTACTTACTTAACTCTATAGTACCACAGAAAGCAAGTGTGAGAACTGTCCACAAATAAATTGCGTTCTTCTTCATCCTAAAAGAAAATGCAAACGAAACTGTGATATATTAACATTAAATCAAATGCAAATATGGATATAGGCATAAAAGTCACACAGGAACTAAGTTACTTATCTAAGATCAGAGGAAGAAAAATTTCAGAATAAAATTTAAATATATATTTAAATATTTATCTATATCTTGCCATCTTTATCATTTTTATTACATTTGTCTTCCTCACTGAAATACAATTCAACTAATTTTCTCATTCAGTGGGGTAATTTTGCTCCCCAGGGACTTTTGGCAATGCCTAGAGATACTTTTGGTTGTTACAACTGAGTGCTTTTCAAAAGTCAGATGTGGCCGGGCACGGTGGCTCACACCTGTAATCCCAGCACTTTGGGAGGCCAAGGCAGGTGTATCACCTGAGGTGAGAAGTTCGACTCCAGCCTGACCAACATGGAGAAACCCCGTCTCTACTAAAAATACAAAATTAGCCGGGTGTGGTGGCGCATGCCTGCAATCCCAGCTACTTGGGAAGCTGAGGCAGGAGAATTGCTTGAACCCAGGAGGCAGAGGTTGCAGTGAGCCAAGATTGTGCCACTGCACTCCAGCCTGGGCGACAAGAGCAAAACTCCATCTCAAAAACAACAACAACGACAACAAAATGAAACAAAAGGAAAAGGAGCCCCTTACTTCCTCATGAATTGTGTTGTAGTTTTTTTTTTTTTTCTTTTTGAGACAGAGGCTGGAGTGCGATGGTGCGATCTCAGCTCACTGCAACCTCCGCCTCCCAGCTTCGCGATTCTCCTGCCTTAGCCTCCTGAGTAGCTGGGATTACAGGCGCCTGCCACCACGCCCAGCTAATTTTTGTATTTTTAGCAGAGACAGGGTTTCACTATGTTGGCCAGGCTGGTCTTGAACTCCTGACCTCAGGTGATCCGCCCACCTCGGCCTCCCAAAGTGCTGGGGTTACAGGCATGAGCCACCATGCCCAGCATGAATTGTGTTCTTGAAACTGGCAAATACTCATAGACTCAAAGAGATAAATTCAAGTATGTTTCACTCTATAAGGATTGAAAAAGGAATTAATATTCATCTGGCTTCTCTCACATAGCTCTGTCTACTTGTGCCTTGACAATAAAGCTTTTTAATTAAAGAGAAGGCACAAGCCTCAAAGTAAAGGCAGGACTGGTGACGTGGCATCTGTAAAACTGCAGCTTCAGGCGCGTTTGTGCGGGAACACCAGCTGTGAGGTATGTAGCCAGTATTTTGTTATTAATTATTAAAACGCCAGTGTCTTAAAATGCTTTACTTTGTCTTTGCGTGTTTTTGGTAAACTAGAGAGACTCAACCTCATTCGAATTCATTTGCATTCACATGTTTTCTTCAGTTGAAGACAATGCAGTGGAGTAAAAATAAATCTGCTAGAAATTACTCTTAATCCTAGGCGTTGTCATAGGAGTGTATGACAGGAGATCCACTCATCTGAGAGTCCTGTTATCATTAAGGTGGTGGCTATGAACTTTAACATACTTACTAATAAAAAGACGAAGATAAAAATTGTATGTAATTTTATAATTTAGAATTTAACATGAGCTATACCTAAAAATGGACATTCTGACAATAACTTTAGGGCTTGTTTATAGTTACAATTAATACTATTTAAAACAGGTTAAATTAGATTGAAAAGTTCAAAAGAAAGGCAAAATAAAATATAACAGGATAACAGGATGATTATTCAAGATTTAACAACGTATCATTAAAATCAACTTACTGGGCCAGTAACGATTGGTTTTATAGCATGAACACCAGGTGAGGAACAACGCAATTCTGTCCTGGGTGAGCTAGCGTTTAAAAAGATGGGAAAGAATAATTACAGGTGTATATGAGATTAATAAAATTCCCTTACTATTTTTTAAGCCTAAAAACTTCAATTATATGCTGATAAGAGATATTTTTAAATATTTGCAATATTTTACTTCTATACTATATTCAACCTGATTTTGTCTTGCTTTTCATGTCTACTTAATGAAAGAAAATTTACATTAAATCACAGCCTTGAATCTGAATGTTCACATTGTATGAATGAATTAAAAAATATATACATACATTGATATTCATGACATAAATCTTACCTTTTATTTAGCACAAAACAAATTTCTGGCACACTCCACTCAGTAAATAATGTTCCTTCATACTCTAACTTAATCTAAAAAAGAAAACAAGAGTTCGAGCAAAAAATATGATTCAAAATTTTCACCTCAGGGTTCAGTTGTAGGATTCAATTTTCTGGGTCCTAATTATTTAAAGAAAGAATAACTAAAATTCAATTTCCTTTAAATTGTACAAAGTAATGTGACAAAGAAAAGGTAACTTAACCCATCTGGGACACTTTAGCAGTCACTCCAAAAAACTATAAACTTTTAATTTTATTTACTTCAGCAATAATCCACTGGCTGGGTGCGGTGGCTCATGCCTGTAATCCCAGCACTTTGAGAGGCCGAGGCAGGAGGATTACCTGAGGTCATGAGTTTGAGACCAGCCTGGCCAATGTGGTGAAATCCCGTTTCTACTAAAAATACAAAAATTAGCTGGGCGTGGTGGC